AATTCAAGTAAAAAACTTTGCATACATTGCGAAAAAACCTCTATGCCAATACTTAGATCCGGCACTATAAATATTTATTAATTATAATTCCATTCAATAAAAGAAATACAATAATTTGAATTAATTAATTGCCTTTATTTTTAGCATTCAAAACAGTAGATAAAGCAGTGTAAAAAAACGCTTTTTTAACGTAAATTAATCGTTTACGAGGCGCACTTCAAATCGGCATTTTTCGTTTTTTGGATCTAATATTTGTTTTGAAGAGGTTTAAACATCGTTTTCATTTATTGGACAAAATGCCGCAGGAACTAGAGACAAGTGCAGATGAGTTGAAGCGTCGTAACTTACCGTGGATTGAAAAATATCGGCCTATAAGATTTGAGGAGATCGTTGGAAATGAAGATACAATTGCCCGCCTTTCAATTTTTGCTACGCAAGGAAATGCGCCAAATATTATAATAGCGGTATGTAATTACCTTTGAAGTATGGAAGCTTGCATGCAGTGCTATTTTCTTTTAGGGTCCTCCAGGTGTAGGCAAGACAACAACCATCCAATGTCTGGCACGCATTTTGCTCGGAGACAGCTATAAAGAAGCCGTGCTCGAGTTAAATGCATCTAATGAACGTGGTATTGACGTAGTTCGCAACAAAATAAAAATGTTCGCCCAGCAAAAGGTTACATTGCCAAGAGGAAGACATAAAATAGTTATACTAGATGAAGCCGATAGCATGACCGAAGGGGCTCAACAAGCACTTCGCAGAACAATGGAAATTTATAGTAATACAACGCGTTTCGCTCTTGCTTGCAATACCAGCGAAAAAATTATTGAACCAATACAGTCACGTTGTGCGATGCTACGTTTCACAAAACTTTCGGATGGTCAAATACTTGCTAAATTAATCGAAGTTTGCCAACGAGAAAATCTCTCTTATGAAGAAGATGGGTTAGAAGCAATTGTTTTTACCGCGCAAGGTGATATGAGGCAAGCATTGAACAATTTGCAATCGACTGCTCAAGGTTTCGGATCTATTACGGGTTCAAATGTGTTTAAAGTTTGTGACGAACCGCATCCAATGCTTATCCAAGATATGCTGCAACATTGTACACAAAACGATATACACAAGGCTTACAAAATTCTCACGAAATTGTGGCGCCTTGGTTACGCTTCTGAAGATATAATTGGAAACATATTTCGAGTTTGCAAGCGATTAAACATAGATGAGCAAACTAAACTAAACTTTATTAAAGAAATAGGAATCACCCATATGAAAGTAGTGGATGGATTGAACTCTTTGCTTCAACTCACAAGTCTT